TTGACCAAGTCTTTATTACTTAAAACACTCTATCTCCTAAAAGCCCTTTCTTCCGTTAAAGCATTTTATCCCGTTTGTGACTTTCCCTCATACACAGACTTGGAATTGCTTACATTTAGTCCGTGTTACTCTTTCCTACGTGGATGGATTGTTTAGTTTTGCTTGCAATATTTCTGGCATTTCCCGTTACAACACCCTGCTCTGCCAGCATCTCCAGGGCAAAGGTTGGGAGCCCAGCCCAGCTCCCAGCTGCAAGTACACTAGGCTCTAACTTCGCTCGCCCTCTCTGCAGGCCCTCCCGGGGCTCCCGCCTGCTTCGCACAGCGGTCCCGCGAAGGCGAAAGCACCGCGGAGTCCGCGGCCTTCTCCGCCCGCCAGCTCCCCCTCGTCAGCTGTCAGCCCGGGCTCTCGGCGCCCGGGGAGCCTCCTACAGGGTCCCAAGCCTAGGAAGCGCGGACTAGGCCCGGCCTCGCTTACCTGGCGCAGCCGCGCGTCCGCCTCGGCCCACCGCCCGCGCAGGGCCCGCTCCCGGAACTCGCGCAGGCTCTCGCAGTCTGCCGCGCCGCCCTCAGCCGGGAAGAGCGCGTCGCGCACGGTGGCGCCACCGCAGCCGTCTGCCGCCGCGCCCAGGTAGCGCTCCAACTGTCCGCACAACTCCCGCAGCGCCGCCTCTTCGGGGCCCGCGCGCGCCGGCCACAGCAGCGCCCACAGCCCGAGCCCCAGGCCCCAAGCCCCGCCGCCGCCGCCACCTACGTCCAGCTCCGGTGGCAGCCGCGGGAAGCAGCGCTCTAGAGGCGGCCATAGCGCCGCCAGCTGCCGGTGCGCGCCGCGGAACGCCGCGGCCGAGAGCAGGCCGGCCCAGCTTGGGGGGGACACGGCGGCCTCGGGCTCGGGCTGGGCCCCCTCGCGCCGCCACCGCCGCTGCGCGGTGCGGTCGTGACAAGTCACAGCGAACTTGCCCTCCGTGCCGTTCCAGGCCACCAGGAAGCGCAGCCGGTGCCGCTCGGGCTCGGCGAAGAGGCCCTCCCGGACCGGCACCCAGCCCTCCAGGCTGTCAGGCTGCTCGTCCTCCATGACAGTCGGCGGCAGTTGGCGGCAGCGGCTCTAGGGCTCGGCGGGCGCGGGGCTGTCCTCCTCACACCTCCTGTCACGAGACAGTCCGAGCTGAGGCATTTTTCGCTGGAATCGAAACCGCGTCAGTGTCCCAGCGGCGCCCCGGCCCCCGGCACTTCTGATTGGCTGGCTGCGGGAGGCGGGGCTTAAGCGAAGTGTCCGTCCGTGATTGGTTGGGTGATAGAAGGGAGGGTCAGCGACAACTAATGAAAAGGTGAGAAGGTCTCCCTCGGATGTCAATCATCTCGCAACCTGGTCCGGAGTCTGGGAAATACAACTCTTGCCTCACCTTTTCCACCCAATACATGCGAACGTTGGAAAAATATCTTTAAATGGGCGAGTTATTATCTTAGTCTCCCACACTAAACTATGAACTTCTATGAACAGGGACCAAGCTGATTTCCTCTTCTGTCATCACGGCCCTATTGAGTACATGGTTCCCGCCCTCAAGAATGTCACAAATGTGCTGGGGAGATGAAACAAACTTGATAGTCATTTATTGAGGGCTTCTAAGTGCCAAGTACTGGACAGAAGCCACAAATTTACTTTTGTCAACTCAGCAAACTTTTACTGAGTGTTGGCTGTATGCCAGTATTGAGAGGATGGAGTAAGAGGGAGAATTCAGGGCACCACAGCTCCCAGCCAGGGTGTTTAAATACAATCTGCATTCCAACTCTTCACTTTATACCAAGTACCAGCTCGGCCATAGAGACGCCCCAGCCAGGCGGCCTTCAAGAACTGAGCGGCAGACACCCACATAAAACAGCAAAGTGGGCCAAAGCGGGGGGAGGGAGCGGTGGCCAACAGCCTCCTGAGCTGAGAGCCCCTGACAGCATTCCAAACTGAAGGCCCCGAGTAGACGCTGACCCATGCATTTATTCTCCCTGAACAGGATCGCTATTAACAAACAGGTGTTCTGTGTTTTCTCATAACACAAAAAACGCCAAGTAGGCAGCTGGTGCCCACTTACAACTGATCACAAACAACCTAAAAAGTATTCTCCACGAGGGAGCCACGGGGGCAGGGTCAGCTATCTTAAAGAATTGTTTTAACCGGTGTGTGATATTTATACATTGTCCCGCCACTTTGGAATGCCCCAAGTAGTTTTCTACTTGGGTGGGGAGGGGGGCGCTGGTTTTCCTTGCCATCGTTCTTCCTAGCAAACAATATATTCTGTCATACACTCAGCATTCATCAATATTCATAAACTTAACATTTCTCAGCAACTTTAGAGTTAAGGAAACAAAGGCCCAGACAAACTTAAGATACACCAAAACTCAGGCTCAACATGTCCACCTGACTACTGAAGGCCTGTTTAAGGAGGTATCAGGAAATCCAGTTTCCATGTCAGGGTGGAGCTGGATCTGTTCATGCAATAAGGACGAAGACGGCCTATTTGTTTTTCGAGAGGAAACTGTCAATCTTTCTAATTATGAAAGTGTAGTGGGTGGCCGGGTGCAGTGGCTCACACCTGTAATCCCAGCACTGTTGGAAGCTGAGGTGGGAAGATCACTTGAGGTCAGGAGTTCTAGACCAGCCTGGCCAACATGCCCAAACCCTCTCTCTACTAAAAATACACACACACACACACAAAAATTATCCAGGCATACTGCATGCCCTATACTTCCAACTACTAAGGAGGTTGAGGCAGAAGAATTGTTGAACCCAGGAGGCAGAGGTTACAGTGAGCTGAAATTGTACCATAGCTCTCCAGCCTGAGTGAAACAGTGAGACTCTGTCTCAAAAAAAAAAAGAAAAAAGTCTCCTCTACATATATTAATATATGTCTTAGTCCATTCAGGCTGCTAGGACAGAATATCATAGACTGGGTGGCTTATGAACAACAAACATTTATTTCTCATAGTTCTGGAGGCTGGAAAATCCAAGATTAAAGCACCGGCAGATTCAGTGTCTGGAAAGGAAGGGCCTGCTTCTTGGTTCACAGATACTTGTATTCTTTTTTTTTTTGAGTTGGAGTTTCATTCTTGTTGCCCAGGCTGGAGGCGATCTCAGCTCACCTCCGCCTCCCGGAAGCAATTCGCCTGCCTCAGCCTTCCGAGTAGCTGGATTACAGGCGTGCACCACCATGCCCAGCTAATTTTGTATTTTTAGTAAAGATGGGGTTTCTCCATGTTGGTCGGGCTGGTCTCGAACTCCCAACCTCAGGTGATCCACCCACTTTGGCCTCCCAAAGTGCTGGGATTACAGGCATGAGCCACTGCACCCGGCCGATGCCTGTATCCTTACTGCATCTTCACATGGCACAGCTCTCAGGGACCGCCAGTGTAATGGCACTAATTTTATTCACGAGGGCTTGCCTTCATGACCAAGTCACCTCCCAAAGGCCACATTTCCAAATACCATCATGTTGGGGATTTGGTTTCAACATGGGAATTTTGGGGGAATATAAACTGTCTATAGTATATGAATGTATATGTATGATGGTTAATTTTATGTGTCAACTTGATTGGGCCACCAGAATGCCCAAGTATTTGGTCAAACATTATTCTGGGTGTGTGTGTGGATGAGGTTAACCTTTGAGTCAGTAGACTGAGTAACGCTGGTTGCCCTCCCGAATGTGAGTGGACCTCATCCAATCAATTGAGGGTCTGAATAGAAAAAAAAGCTTGAATAACAGGGAATTCTTCCTGCCTAACTGCCTTCAAGTGGGGATATGGGTTTTTCCCTGCCTTCCAACTCAGACGGAGACATTAGCTCTCCAGGGTATTGAGCCTACTGGCCTTTGGACTAGAACCACATCAGTGGCTCTCTTGGATCTTCCGCTTGCTAACTGCAGATCTTGGGACTTTTTGGTCTTCATAATTACATGAGTCAATTCCTTACGATAAATCTGCTTTCATATATGTATACATTCTATTGGTTCTGTTTCTCTGAACTCTATTACTGTGTGTGTGTGTGTGTGTGTGTGTGTGAGAGAGAGAGAGAGAGAGAGATTATGCTGTTAATATGTTAATATACTGGTCTGTGGGCTCAGCATTAAAGTAGGAATTTGCAACACACTCCACAGTTAACACTCACTTTTTTCCTCAACACCTAGACGTTTTCCATTTCTTAACAGAATCAGAATTTGGGGAGAAAGGAACATTGATAATAAATTGTCATTTTACAAATGATGAAACTAAAGCTTAGAGGAATAATCGATCACAGTCCATAATGAATGTATTGGCCGGACAGTCCCATCTCTATGTCATACTGTGGCAATGTTTTAAAAAAATGTTTGCTTAAGGCTTATATGGAAAGTATGTCCTGTGCTTTAATTGGAAGAGTCCCCCGACATGTTTTTCAACCTTTTATGGTTCATGAGCACCTCTGAGAATCTACTGAAACCTGTGAGTTCTCATCCCAGAAGTGATTCCGTAAAAACACAAACATAATTTTGCATATAATTTTAGAAACTCATTCATGTAGCCCCTGGCAATTCCTGAGCCATGGCTAAAGAAAACTTGCTTTAAGGCATTAGCTATGCAGTAATATGAAGGAGTTCAAATCAGCTTTACAGGCACAGCCCACTTAAAAATATCTCATGGCATTTTCTACACTTACAAAACAGGCATCCACATTATCATTAGTATTATTGTTTTTTAAGAGGCAGGGTCTCTGTCACCAGACTGGAGTGACAGTGACACAATCACAGCTCACTGCAGCCTCAAACTACTAGGCTCAAGTGGTCCTTCTCCCTTAGCCTCTCAAGCAGCTGGGACTATAGTTATGAACCGCCGTAGCTAGCTCCACATGATTATTTTTAATTTTTGAGACAGGGTCTTGCTCTGTCACCAGGCTGAATTGCAGTGACCTCATCAGAGCTCACTGCAGCCTCGACCTCTCAGGCTCAAGCAATCCTCCCTCCTCAGCCTCCCAAGCAGCTGGGACTACAGTCATGCACCAATACGTCTGGCTAATTTTTTATTTGTGGCTATGGGGGTTTCACCACGTTGCCAAGGCTGGTCTCAAACTCCCATGCTCCAGTGATGGGAATAGCTTCAATCAAGCAGGGAGAATCAAATGATGGGAATCCTGGTCCCATAATGGGAATCTCCAGAGATTCCCCATGAAAGAGAGTCAGAGCTAAGCATACTCCAGGCCCAGAGAGCCTGAGGTCAGTAGCCACCGTGATGTCTACTCAAATAGGAGACATCTTATGGCTTCAGCCCTCCCGCCCTGGCTTCTAAACCAGCAGTTCCAGGAGGACAGTAAGGAGGAGAGGCCAACCCCATGCTTCTTTTCCCAGTGCAGGCTTCTTGCTAAAGAGGCCCACTCTGGGAAGGGAGAAGATTTGACTCTGGCTAAACCACATTTGGCTTGTTGATTAATGTGTTGAACGGGACATTCAATTCCTGAATTTGAGATGCTGACTTCAAGTGATTTTAAAACTGTGTGTCACCTAAGAGGAAGAAGAAAGTCATTGAGTCTGCTGGATTTTCATCCAAAGAAGGGAATAATTCCCACCTGGAGTACACTAAAGGAAAGTTGGGAGGGAAAGGTAAAGTTGCATTCGATTGCCTTCACAGTGGGGCTTACCCAGAACACTTTGGAAGAAGACCCCTGGAAAGCCCTGGTGGAAGGCATGCAGCCCAAGGGCTCTCAAGAATCTCCTTCCTGGCCTTGCTGTGACAGTCCCCACCCGTCACCACATGACCAGCCACCTGAGACCCATAGTACAGCCACGAGTCTCAAACCCCCCACAGCTAAGGAAGTAACTCAGAGCACAGTATGTGACCTCTCCTGGTGACACTTGAGTAATAAGAAGTGGCAGCTCAGCCACAGCAGGTCTATATTTGGACCTTCACTCATGGCAGGCCTGTTGCTATTTGCGGCTGGAGCCAGCTTATGTTACCATCCAGCCTCGGTGCCCCACTTGTGGAACTCTGGTGTATAATAGGCAGGGATACCCTGTGGGGCATGCAGAGGTCACCAGGAAGGAAAGCCTGCTGAACACGGATTCAATTTTCTAGCAGAACTCCAGGTCCTCTGAGTTAAAAGAAGCATTTATGGATGCTTAGCAGGCAAGTTCTGGGGTAGTCATATTCTTCTAATGCAAATTATATTATTAGAAACTCCAGTGCAAATTATATTATTAGAAACTCAGGCTTACTGCTGTAATATTAATGTAATATCTTTCCTTTAGGTGGGAAAAGATATCATGGTAAATTGCAGATGTTTAAATTACAATAAACAGTGCAAATGTTTTCTGTGCCTTCTTCAAGTAAGAAGAAGGCACAGAACTGAACTGTTCGCATTAACTGAACATGATGTTGGGACAGGATGGGAGTGGCTCTGATGAACGTAGAGAGGGGCTGGTGATTCTTGCAATGTATCTTTAGGATATCTGTAATGCAGGGGCCCATTTGTTAGACCCATTTGCTAGAACAGTTTGGAAATCTAGGTGTTGAATATCATCTGGCTATAGTATTATGTTGTAAATATATTTTATTTAATCTGCATGTACATGCTGACAAATAATTACTTCATGCTTTGATTCAAATACTGAAAAACAGCCTTGTAATTGTTTTTCACTTGTTATGCATACAGCCTCCTCCTGTAGAAAGTTTTTAGGTTTGGGCAGTGTCTATAAAGCTGATTTGAATCATTTCATATCACTGTTAACACTTTAAGGCAAGTTTTCTTTTCTTTTCTTTTTTTTTTGAGACGGAGTTTCGCTCTTGTTACCCAGGTTGGAGTGCAATGGCGCGATCTCGGCTCACCGCAACCTCTGCCTCCTGGGTTCAGGCAATTCTCCTACCTCAACCTCCTGAGTAGCTGGGATTACAGGCACGCGCCACCATGCCCAGCTAATTTTTTGTAGTTTTAGTAGAGATGCGGTTTCACCATGTTGACCAGGATGGTCTCGATCTCTTTGACCTCGTGATCCACCCGCCTGGGCCTCCCAAAGTGCTGGGATTACAGGCGTGAGCCACCGCGCCCGGCCTAAGGCAAGTTTTCTTTCACTGTAGCTCAGGAATTGCCAAGGGCTGCATGGATGAGCTAAAAATTATATGCAAAATTATGTTCCTGCCCTTATGGGATCACTTCTGGCAAGAGAATTCACAGGGTTCAGTAGATTCAGTAGATGTGCTCATGACCAATAAACGGTTAATAAACAAACCAAGTGAGGTGGTAGATTGCTTGAGCCCAGGAGTTCAAGATTAGTCTGGGTGACATAGCTAGACCCTGTCTCTAAAAAAGAAAGAAAAAAAACATTCTGGGGAGACTTTTCTAAGTAACGCGCAGGGACACATCTCCCATATAAGCCTTTGGCAAACATCTTTTTTTTTAAGTGCTGCCCTATGGCACAGAGGCAAGGCTATCCAGCCAAAACATTCATAATGGACTGTGACTTATCACTTTACTTCTCTAAGCTTTAGTTTCACCATTTATAAAATGATCATTTATTGTCAATGTTCCTTTCTCCCCAAATTCTGATTCTGCTAAGAAGGAGTCCAAGTGTTGAGGAAAAAAGTGAGTGTTAACCATAGCATATGTAGCAAAATTCCTACTTTGACACTGAGCCAGTTTGTATTGAGACCCGTTTGTGTGTATGTTCAAAGGGCAAGTGCCGCCTTGAAAGCATGCGTTCTTATCTGTATTTGCACTAAGTGTTTTCCACTCTTCTTGTGTTTTTCTGACAGTTCAACTTGTGCTTCACATTCTAGCTTCTAGTTAAAAGAATTTCTCATGATTTATTGGTCATACAGAATCCTGGCTATCTCCCTTTGGGCAGCACATGGGAATGTAAGCATTATTTTTAGTGGGCTGCTCCTCTGTCTGTAGATAGTGTGATTTAGTGGAAACCTGGGTTTGAATCCAAGCTCTTCACCTGACTGGTTGTGTGTCAGGTGAAGAGCTTGGATTCAAGCACAGGGCTAAATACAGAGTAGCCCAGATAAATTTTTGTAAAAGAAAATTGGCTATAAGCAAGGGCCTTATCCTCACAGGAACTCCTTTTGCCATCCTGAAATCAGGAATTTTTTTTAAACATCCATGACCTCCTGAATAAAATCAGGAAATTGAATTAGATGCTCTCCAAGGGACCTCCATGCCTAGAATACAACGTCTCTGCCTGGGCCCCTTGAAAACTTGCTATAGGGAGAGGAATGATCTCATAGCTGGTGTCTGTGTCATTGTGAGGCTGTTCTGCTTTAGTGCCTTCTTTCGTCATCGGCTGTTTTCAAGGGACAAATATTCCCACAGTGGCCATGGTTGATTCCACATGCTGTGGCCACTGTAAGCCTTCATTTTCCATCCCTTGTCCTCACTCTCCATGAGTGACCAGGTAGAAGCCTTCTGGCCCAGGTGGGAGATGCTAAGGTCAAATAATGATAATGATAATAAGAACAAAACAATCAGAGCAGCAAACACTTATTGAGGACTTACTTTAAGCCACATACTATGTATAAAGTACGTTATGTTATTTCATCTAAATGCCAACCTTATGAGGTAGACACTGTTAACAGAGCTGTTTGATGGTCCATGAAAGTGAGGCCTAAAGAGATGATTTTCCTGAAGCCATACTTCTAGGATGTGGCAGAAACAGCGTGCAAACATAGGACTGTCTGAACCCAGAGGGCAGTGTTCTTGGGGAGGAAGGATGGGGGACAGGAAAAGAGATATTACCTAGAGATTCAAGAGGTAGAGTCAGAATCAGGATTAACTGGTTAATAATTAGATTGGGGATGTTGAGGATGAGCATCTGGTCTCTGGTTTGGTGCTGGAGGGGGTGGATGTCATGCTATCATTCATGGATAGTAGCAATGCAGTGGCCTTCATAGAGGGCCGTGTTGGGTGAGCAAGGTTTAAGAAGCAGTGGTGAGATGAGGAAGAACGAGGAGGTCTCAGCAGGCAGGACAGCCTGAGCCAGGGCCTAGGGTGGGTCTCACATGGAAGACCCTGAGAGTGGCCAGAAGGAACGGAGGGTGACTGCTAGGGAAGGTGGGGCTGCTTGGGGAGTATAGAGCTATGGCATGGGAATGGGGGGGGGTCCCTGGTGCCCAGAGGAATTGGGACTTGCCAGTAATGGAGCCCTCAAGACATGCAGACCTACCACTTCTGCCTGAGCAAGGCAATGTATGCTGTATAAGCTATGCTGCTGTCCTGGGCAGAGACACCCATGAGGAAGAACCATGGCGTGCACAGTCAGCAGACTGCAGAGTCAGGAGGGTTTCAAGCAAGATTTTGAGCCACTGAGGGAAACAGTAGGATTCTGGATCTCCTAAAGCACAGAGTCTGTGCTTTAGGAGGGAGTACTCTGGGGACCCAGGAAAGAGGGAAAGTGGCATCTCTGAGAAGTTGTGCATAGCCCCAGATGGGGTAATAATCACTTACTCACTTGTCTGGAGCCTCCTTGAGACTGGTAACTGTGTCTCATCGATCGTACCCCCAGTGCCTAGCTCAGTCCTGTTCTCTTGAATTGACACCTCACCAGCCCCATGAACAGTGAGAGCTAGGGCAATGAATGATGACCATATCACAGACCATGAATGTGGTAAGGTTAGCCAGGGTCCCGAATGGACCTAGAGCTTCCCCAGATGACCTCTGCAAGGGTGCAGACTTTGCAGGTCATTCCATATTGCCCCATAATACACTGGCTCCAGGACTTCTAACTCTGGCATGACCAGGTAGAATCTATAATGCCCCAGGAGCAGAAGCAGCAACCAGGATCCCCGGTGGAGTGTAGATGAGCAACTGCTTCTAAGCTCAGGAGACCTGCTGCTGCGGTTCCTGGCTGAAAAGAGGCCCCTGTGCCTGATACCCAGGAGGAGCTAGCAATCCCTTGGGTCTGGTATGTATGGAGGGGGCCACTTGCTGGTCCAGCTCAGCACTAGTTTTGCCGGGATGCAGATTCAGTGTGAGAAGTTGTGCCCTAGTTAACTTGAAGCCACGCTTCTCTAGTCCTGTGTACAGGCTGCGTTAGTGAGGAGCCAGGACTGCCCCAGCCAGGGTCTGATGATGGACAGGTTTCTTTTTTTTTTCTTTCTTTTTTTGAGACAGAGTTTTGCTCTTGTCACCCAGGCTGGAGTGCAGTGGCATGATCTTGGCTCACCACAACCTCCACCTCCCAGGTTCAAGCAATTCTCCTGCCTCAGCCTCCCGAGTAGCTGGGATTACAGGTGTGTGCCACCACATCTAGCTAATTTTGTATTTTCAGTAGACACGGGGTTTCCCCATGTTGAACAGGCTGGTCTTGAACTCCCGACCTCAGGTGATCCGCCTGCCTCGGTCTTCCAAAGTGCTGGGATTACAGGCGTGAGACACCATGCCCCGCCTGTGGACAGGTTTCTTAGTAGTAACCTCCCCACAAAGAAAATTCTGGAGTCTTCATAAGTCATCGATGCCGTGGAGACAAAACCCTGGTATCTGGAAACCACTGGCTTTGCGATGCTGCCTCTGGAAGCCTGCCTCCACTCATCCTTCTCTCCATCTAGGAGGTGGACCTGATCCTATCTGTGGCCCCGATCCTATCTGTGGCCCCAAGTGGCGTGAATCAAGACATGGTGGAGCTAGTGTCTTGTGTGCCTTAATCCTGCGTGGTCATGGTATCTCAGCCTCAGCAGGTGTTACCGAAGTGATTATTTACCATTATGTTCCATGTGAAGAGTTTTGGAGCATTAGAGAATGGGAGAATCCCAAGAGTGATGTTCCCAAGTCTTGGAGTCTCAGGAGTAAGGTTTCCTTACAGGGACGCAGATCTCTGAAACCAGTAACATACATGGCATTGGGTTAGGATAGCAGCATCTTTGTCACTAATGACTGCTGGAGGTCGACCTCTCTGTGGGGTGCTGATGGAGTACCTAGAAAACAGCATCCCATGGGCTCTTCAGAGTGAAGAGGAGAAGAGAGAAGGTCCCCAGGGGCTCACCAGTGCTGAGTCTATGTAGTCATACTCCCAGCTCTCACCTCCCCAACCCCTCCATCATCAGGGAAGGCTGTTTGGTTCTTGTGTTTTTGTCTTGCTGTCAGAAAGAGCCAGGGTAAGCCCATGGAGGGAAATGTGAGGGACTTCCAGGGC